GTTTAAAAGCACAATAAAAAGTTCAGCTAAAGCTTCGGCAAACTTTTGTTCAAACAGCTTGTTAATGGGTTGTTAGGACAATGCCTTGCTTTACAGTCTTCCTCAAACAGAGCCGCATAATGTCCATTTTAAAGCTGTTTTTAAAATTCTGACTCACTTACTAGCTGYCTAATTAGCCCGAAAACCTCTAGAGGGAGACGTCCAAGAGGCATTCTAAACCGCACCTCAGCTGACTCCTTTGAGGCTTTTATTAGAATTAACCCAGTGGTCCTTCAGATATTTGCCAATATGCAGAGAGGGTGGATGCCAACAATTAATAGCAAAGTTTTAAAAAACAGTTTGACCAATCTGGGATCAGCCTCAGCTAATGCCACACAAAATGTTGGGCCAGTTTTAGTAAAACTGACTGAGTAAGAGGACTTCTCATGCAAAATCCTCTTTTTTAGCTGTTAATTGCATTTTGTTGGAGTCTCTGGGAGTCTGGGAGTATCTGCAGATAATTTCAGTTTTATGTCTCCCAGTGTTGCTTAGATATCTTCATATTCTGTTTGGTTTATATTTTTCAGTCCTTTAAGTTTTCTAATTTTCCTATTACAGTTTTGGGAATATTATGTCACAATATTTGCAAAGCAACTGTTAAACAAGGTCATRGATTTCCAGCTAACTAATTTGCAAATCCGTGGTTTTGCAGGTTCATTGTTTTCATTCTCCTCTGGTTCTGGGTCAGACTCTGGTTCTGGCATGTAAGGCTGGAAGGACAAGTCTTCTGTTGTTGACAYCTTTTAATTAATTTGTAAATAAAAAGTATCTGCACCACTGGATAATTGCATCTCGCTGTCAAACTACAAAAACGGCCGAACAGGGTGGCGTGGACAGTGATCCATGTTTATCTATGTCTATATTGAAATTCTATGATTTGGTTGACTATAATATGTTACTGTTAATTTATAGGGCTCACAAAAACACATTGCCTTCTAACATCCAAGTAAACTTTGTTGAGAGAGAGAGTTGTTATTGTGATGCCTTGGTTGTAAAAAAAGGGGCAGATATTATAAGAATTTTTTTTCTTTCTGCTGCCTTTCATTTTATTTAATTTGAATATATATTTTTTATTTTCTTCTATTATATTTTGTTTTAAATGAAATGAGTACATATCTAAATAAAAACACTATGTCATTGGGAGTGGAACTCTTGGTGGGTGACATTTGAGGYGCCTTGTTTGGATTTAAAGAGACAGCACCAAAACGAGCTGATCTGAGCCACAGTCCAGAAAAAGGGGTGAAAGAGGGGCTTGTGGAGTTACAATAAGGAGGAATTCAGACCAAAGCATTCCTGTTCCAGTTTATATAGACCCCAACTGAATGATTTAAATATGAAAAGGAAGGATATAATAGCATGATGTTTATTTWAAGGCCATTTAGGTGAGGCCATCTTGAATCAGGTTGACTTCAAAAGATAATGTACATTCAAGAATTACTTTCTGAAAATGCCATTAAAATCCATYCATGATATGTTGTGTTTTGCTACTGCCACAGATAAATGAACACACACAGGTAAAAACATAATTACTGCTTCCCCTTTGACACATGCAGGCACCAATAACAGTTTTATCTAAATATGGACTTTCTGCCAGACTGAACACAGCCGAGTTCAAACAGAAGCAGTGAAAGTGAATTTTGACTGAGGCTCTGCACAGAGAAATGACTTTTTCCAGGTTGCCGATGGATACGACTGACCTAATTTTTTTGTCTGTAAAAATCCTCCACTGAAAAACAKTATTTTTTTTCCTCCTGACTATTACTAACTCTGCCCAAAACAAGAACAAACCTGAAGTGACTGGTTGTTTCTGAACAGCGGTTGTTGCTCTGCTGGTTTCCATCACAGCAGTAATTTGGTCACTGATGAGATGGTTGGCCTGAAAATCAGCAGGTGCTCTTTGTCCTCAGGACTTTAAAAAAAAATTGTATCAAGTGAAAGATATTCTCACACAGTCACAGTTCATCATGTGTCATCGGTTTCTGTCCGCTGTGGGTCCGGAAATCAAGCACACAGAAATACATCTTCAGCTCTCTTGTGTTTTTCCATCAAAAACTGACCTGTTTTTCTCTGAAATGGTCCAAACAATAATTGAAACGAACGAAACTGAATGTTATTAAAGTAAAATTGTACATTCAGCTTTGTGACTGTCTGATTCTCCCTCTGCGTCACTTTGTTTTGGTTTTCATTTTGCTACAACACTCAGAGAGATGCTTTCTGTGTGAGAAAAGTGCCTGCAAATGGCATTTAATATTGATATGTTTGGGTCGTGAGGCAGTGGCATTTTTTTTAGCCCAGTCGAAATGTGTTCTGTCGCACTTTATCTCTGGACAAATGGACAACTATTTTCTGTTTTATGATTCAGTTAAAAGAACATGACAACAGATGCATTCAGGGACTTTTTTCCCCACTCCTACATTTTGTGAAAACAATAAAATGTCTGTATAGTGGTGCAGAGGTCTTTCAGGAAAAGTGTTTGTGAAATAGTTTATGTTTGCAGCAGCGGATGAAAAATTAATGGATTCTTTATGTTTTGCAGAGTATCTTCGCTCAGTTCCAGTTCAGCAGCGAGCGAGTTCTGCCATCTGATGCACTGCGGAGCGCTTTGGCCAAGACGTTCCAGGACGAGCAACGCTTTCAGCTGGGCATCATGGACGACGCCGCCGAGTGCTTCGTGAGTCTGCAACACCACACACACACACACACACA